TGTAATTACATAATTATAATTAATTTTATTTATTTATTTTCCTATTATTATTTTTATAAAATTAATAATTTTAATAATAATAAATAAAAATATTTAAAAAATACATTTATTTATTTTTAAACATGTTAAATAGTAATTATTATTTAATATTAAATAACAACCACTAATTATTGTATAACCAAATAGTTATATTTATCAAATTTGCTATTTATTATCTGTTACTCACTTTTTACTATCCGTCATTTGTTATTTGCTAACCGTTACCCATTACCGCTACCGTTATCTGTTACCCGTTATCTACTATCGATTGAATTTTAACCGTTGTACCAAACAGAGCTAAGTGGGATAAAATTTGATTTTCATATTTTACCCTCTTGCTCCTCTCGCGAATTTTCTGTCTCCCATGATTTTCTCTGTCCTCTCCAAACAGATCAGCTATCAAAGATGAATTGAAGATGACAGCAATGTTAGGAATCGAAGAAGTTCGTCAGAAAAATGATTCAATTTTGTTTGGGTTCGTGGTTGATATCGGAGAATGAAATGGTAGTTTGGAACTCCAAATCTCCGATGAGATTTTATCGGAAAAGATCAAGACTTAAATCTAGTTCTAGCGATGTAGGTGAAGGGCGGTGGTGGAGTCCTAGGTGAAGGCCAAAGGAGGAAGGGAGACGGTGAGGGTATGATGAGCTTTGTTCATCCTGTATTTCATTTCCTTTGATATTTTTTTGGTAGAATTTTCATTTAAAAGGAGTCATTTTTATTTGTTAATTTTCTTCGAATTTCTAGGAAACAAACAACAAATTTCTTTTGGTGGATTTAAAGATATTTTTCATCCCAATTTTAGTTTGCTTGAAGATGCACCTAAACTGGGTTTGTTAGAATACTCTGGTGGTCTGTCTGTTTGGTTTATGAGAAAATGATGGAAATTTTTGATGATAATTAAAACTGCCTAATTAGGATTTTGTTGTAGTTATATTCCATTAATTAATTATAATTAATTTATTAATATTAATCCATATCTATTGAAAAACAAATTAAAATAGGTTAAAACTTTATTTTGGTCGCTAAACTATTGTACAAACCCTGATATAGTTCCTAAACTAAACAAATCTTTGATTTGGTCCTTATTGTTTACCAATTTGATCTTAATTTGGTCTTTTAGTTAAATATTAACCTATGTGTCTCATTACTTGACGAGAAAAGGATGACATGTAAAAGCATTTTGACACCTAAGATGTACAATGTGGTAAAAAAATGAGATGGCAAGGAAAAACCTTAAAAAATTTCTTTTTCCCCTTTTTTTTTCTTCCTTTGTTTTTCCTTTTTTCCCTTCCTTCTTCCTCTCCCTTTCCTTTCACCTTCTGCAAACCCTAACACCTCTTAATATTAAATTTGAGGATAACACAACAAATTAACAAATTGAACTCAATGGATCCTTCGACCCAACGGCTGTTGGGTTCGAAACAAAATTCAACGGCTGCTAGATTCGAAACAGAACCTAGTGCTTGCTAGGTTTGATCACCTACTAGGTTCAAAATCGAACCCAACACCTCAAGAATGATAACACACAGACAACAAATCAATAACCAAATCAAACTTAATAGATCCATTGACCCAACGACTGCTGGGTTCGAAATGGAACCCAACGACTGCTAAGTTCGAAATGGAACCCAATGCCTCACTTGTAGGAACCCAGCGGTTGCTCAAACCTAACAACCGTTGGGTTCCACCGACCTAGCAGTTGCTGGGTTTGAAACGAAACCTAGTAGGCACCTGCCGAGTTCAATTTCGAACTCATCACCTGCAAAAACCTGCAGAAACCCAGCGACTGCCTTGCCTTGCCTTTGTCAT